AAAAAACAAAAAAAACCAGAAGAGAAAGCAAGGAGCTCATGCAGATGACATACTCTGTGCGCCAAACAAAAGCTTTAACCAAAATGATCTGAAATGATAGTATATGCATTACACTGAAATACAAGGTTGGGTACAGTAATAGTAAAGATGAGAAAGCCATGCTGTTCAATTTACCCCGTGCAGACATGATCAGTCATGTCACCTATTACCCACATGCACAAAAAAAAATTAGAAATGGAATGTAAATTAAAAATTAACACATTCTCAAGCAATAAAGCAAGAAAATGAATGAATGCTGTGTTCATTCCAATGTGCAAAATAAAAATAATAACCTGGTGATACAATGGCCAACCAAAGAAACGACAACACCTTCCTGGATACAAACCATCCAGCAGCTCCAGTACTGCGCGCAGCTTGCATTAAGTAATAACCTAAAATACAGAAGAGATGCGTCTTTGGAATGCTTTAAGTAATCTTAGTTAATAGCTGAAAAAAAGCCAGATCAACTGCAGAGACGAAGCAAGGTTTAGAAATGATAAAAGCAAAAGGCATTTAGTATTTCGGCATTCACACTTGCTCCTTTTATCCTGCTTATTGTAGATGTTAGGTCATATTATAGCATCCAGTAGTATACTGTACTGTTGTGCACCTTAATCCGAGACGAGGCAAAGCTGCTGAATGCAAAATGTTTTACTCCTGCCCGATTCACTGCAAACGCTGAACCAATTACTTATGAGCGGTTTTCATTCGTAAGATTTTTATTTAGAAGAGGAGGTTAAATTGGCACAAACGACATAGCAGATATCCAATTATACTAGAAGACCTATTACATGGTGGAATACATTCAGGGCCAGTTTACAGCACATTTTTTGTATGCACATTTCTGATGTGTTCCAGTACATTTTCCCTCGCCTTGTTTCTTCATCTCAATTGACGGCATGTGCATTCCGACGTGTTTATGTGTTTTGCTGTGTTCCAGATGCTTTTCATACAGAAAGAAATGCAGTAAACACTACTTTTGTTGACTGCACTGGTGTGAACTAGGGACATTGGAATCCATGTTAAACACTGTCCATGTGTTTTTAAAGAAGAATAAAAATTCACTGGATGGCATCTTGTGTAATCCAGCCCTAAGGCTTTGTTCACACTTACTGCGTCATAGGAGTGCACGTAAAATCATGCACTTTCCTGCAACGCACAAAACCACTACTTTCTTACAAATGCATGGCGGTGCCATTAATTCTTAATGTCACCCCCAAGCTTCCTGTTAATGTATTTGCATTTGTGCATGACAAAACACAAGGTACTGCAGTACCATACATTTTGGTGCAGCACAATTTTTAAAATGGCGCAGGCACCTCTGTTGACCGTTTCTCGAGCATAGGGCAGTTTGTTGAAATCAATGAGTGCGCTAAACAAAAAAAAAAACACATAACAAAAAACATGTATGCTCAGTCTCCCCTCCATGGTATGCATGGAGCTGAAAAGGCAAACATTGTAAACACATCTTTTATTTAATAAACCACACAGAATTCTCTCTTAGGGGTGTCCGCAGTATTCCACCAAAATGAGGTCCCACTATGCCTACCATCCCCCCCTTATCACCAAGGGTCTGCAATAGTAAGAGGGGAAAGAAGAAAATAAATGTTGAGGCACGGAAAATGGAGAGGTGGCTCAATATAGAAGAAAAGGCAGTATGAGGATAGGGTCAGAGTAGGATTGGGGGTTGGGCAGTGTGCAGGAAGATTCTTGTCTACATGGAGTTGTGGTGGATGGCGCCACCCAGAGATTAAATAGGATGCCAGCCATATTTCAACCACCAACTTAGGAAAGCTCTCACCACAGACTCACGTCCCTTGGGTCCCATTTGTAAGGCCGTTTTATGCCTAGCGTTAGAAGCTTTGAGAATTACATTGGGGCAATTTAAAACAAAAACCTTGGGACTCCACTATAGTTAACGGAGGGAAAAAAAAAAGTGACACAGTTTGACACACAACAAACTGGATTTTTAGAATGATGGTGGTGTAACACACATGGGTATCTTATTCTATATTCTGTGTAGGGTAGATCATCCTACTAGCAAGAAGTTATGTTAATTCACAGCTGAAGGGGAGCGCTATCACTGCTGTCCTGTAAAAAAGTGTTACTGGAATTTGTGTTCTAAAGGAAACATTTACAACAAACCAAAAATGTAGGCCATCTCATGGAATCCCTCAATAGTCAGAACAGGTTCACCTGCTGTAAGTTAGCCTTTGGGTTTCAAGAGTCATCAAAGTACTTTAAGGCTGAGACATGTGGCAACATATTGTGCAGTAATATCAGAAGTCAAACCGGAGAAAAAAAAAAAAAAAAAAATCACTTGATTTAGGCTACTGGTAAAAACCAATCAAATTACAGTTCGTATAAAGAAAACACAGCGAATAACGATAACCAAATTATGTGGCAATTACATTCTTCTCTAACATGTAAATTTCAACGTGCACCTTTCCCAACTTATTTAAAGGAAGACAATGCTAAGGATATAAACAGACTGCCATTGTTGACATCTGTCATCGTAAAATACAAGATCCCTGGCTGTCATGCAAAGCTAATCACTTCTGTATACAGATGTACTTTACATCCACAGACTATTGTAATTTGAATGCTTGTTCCAATTCAGGGTCTTAAAAGTGCTGTAGCCAAAGACAAGTCAACTAGTATTTTCATGTGATGAGTAATGCAGACTCTAGACAGTTCCTGATTGAAAATAAATATTGCTGTAAAAGCTGCTGCTTTTTATTTCATCTTTCAGACAGATTTTCTCTCTTTTTTTTTTTAGTGGTGTTCTGATTTAAATGTTAAACTATCATATATAAAATACAAAAAAAAAAAACAAAACACCTAACTACATATACAAAATGCAACATAAAGTAGAAGTAAACCCTCCTATCCCGAATCTGCCATCTTAGCCTTTATTTAGATCTGCAGTTGCCATGGTGCTCCACATGTGGTCAGCTTTGACATCAGCCATCTGGAAGCTTAAAGGATGAGCTCCACTTTACAAAAAAAAAAAAAAAGTTCATTTTCTTGCAGGTAAAAACATATACAATTTTTTTTTTTATGTTATGAGCCTGTAAAGCATCTGCTGATTCTGGGTGTAATGCCCCAGTCCTGCAGACTGTGTGTAGTGGTCTGCCTGTACCTCCAATATGGGCAGGTAGTTACACAATGCACGACAGAGCACTCAACATTGCTCTGGTAGTTCATTGAGAACTACAAGCGGACAGCCACAAAGGCTGTTGGAACTTGTACTTTTTCACTTCACAGAATACGGCTGTGTTTTTTTCCCCCACTAGTTGTCAAAAAGGGGGAATGGGGAAGCAGTGAGAGGAACCCCTGCTCATTGTCACAGGGAGAGGGTGCGGGGAGGCGCTTGGAGAATTTTATATTTTTGACTAACTGCTTCAAAAAGTTTTGTTGAGAGCAGACATAAGAACATTGGCAACTGACCATTATCAGAGGCATGTCTATAACGTAATGTACACTAGTGAGCAGAGTAAATACTGTAGAAAACTGATATATTCATGATTAACATCTATTAAACATTTCTAACCTGAGCTTTTATTTAAATGATTAAGGTTGATGGGTTTAGTTGTTCAGCTTCACTTTAAAGTAAAAATGAAGGCTACATATAAAAAACCATGCTTAAAATCACTGCTTCCCCACTCTACCTATACTGTATAGTGCTGGTAAGAGAGAGAGACCTGTGTAAACACCCTAGTCGACCCACTAGTCCAGTCAAAATGATGTAGAAGCTCTGGACCCCGTGCCATAGAGCAACTACTGCAGAAGAGAGGAAGGAGCAACGGAAACTGGTGGGTGACTTCGCAGCTCCTGGAATTCAGCCCTGTTGTCGCGCACTCCATGACAGAGCTTCTACATCACCTAACTGGACTGAAGCATGGTATTTATGCAGATAATTTCTACCAGCGGTATACAGCACATGGAGGAGGGTGAAAGCAGTAGATTTAAGCACACTTGTATAAAGCCTTGACTTTCACTTTCAAGCAAATGTGAAAGCAGACATGAGATGCCCCTGTGTAGCTCTAGTATATTGATATGAAGCACTATACAAATTCAGCTTCCGGATTTAAAAAGACAGACATTTACCTTGCCCCCAGGGCAGTGCATATTATGTGAGTACAAAAAAAAAAAAAAAAAAAAAAAAAAAAAAAAAAAAAAAAAAAAAGCTTTCTAATAGGAGGGAATTTGCAATGTGCCCCGTGAGCCCAGCAAACCTGGAGAAAACATATTGAATGACCAGGGGCGGACTGACAACTCATGGGGCCCCCGGGCAATAGGGGATCATGGGGCCAGTGTCCTTGCCCAAACTCAAAGCCTATGAAAAAAGGTACCAGGGGCATATCATGGGGCCCCCTACTGACCTCGGGCAGTGCCCGAGTTTCTAAATGGTCAATCCGCCCCTGTGCATGACTATAACAGAGGTACATGCAGGCACCCAGTATTTTTTTTTTTTTTTATTTAAAAATTTCAGCTTAGGTTTACAGCTTTACATTAAATCCATTGGAAGTGACGGTATGCTTTACTAGGAAGGATGATGAACAGAGAAATGTAGGAGGAATATCCCAATACAAAACCTCTTAGGCCGGACTTCGCTGTCTGCTTTTAATAAAAGAGAATGCTGTATAATCTTTGTTAGAACACAACCAATCGATAGCAAACATGAACATTTTAATAGAAATGTCTTTTCCTTCCCAGAAAGTTGTCTATCAGTAAGCTGCTTGAGAAGTTCTCCAGCCTGGAGTGGTAAACATCCTGGGTTATTGGCATTTCACTGACCACAGTTTAAACAGATGTTGCAGCAAGATTGTACTTGAACTCTGAGAAGGCACTTCCCCACAGTATACGCAACAACTTCTATGCACTAACCCTCTCTTTACAGCCTGCAGTAAATCATCACTGGGATCTTAACTACAGTTTAGCTTGATACAAACAGAAAGCGTGGTACATGCACTCAGTGAATGTATTACATTAGTGTACAGTAAAAGAAACGACAGACAGACAAGGCCTCCGGTTGTTAGTTAAATCAAAAGTCAAACATAAAATAAAAAGGTGTAAAATAAACCTGTGTAAGAAAAGATGTGCCACAACTTTCCCGTCACCCTTTCAGCCCATGATGAGGACTGTGTGTGCGCAGTGGTGATGTGAGTTTCCCGCTGTTTTGTCCCCTTACAGTCGTCACCTGTTGGTCATTACAAATACCGATTAATATCAAACTTCCTCATCTTATTTTCACCAGTGACCATGCAAAGCACAATAAGCAGCAGAGTTTAAAGTCAGGGATTGCAGAAATTTGGATGAAAACATGTAAAATATTTTGGCAATTCTGTCAGAGCAAAAAAAAAAAAAAAAAAAAAACTTTTCTATGGCACCTGCACCCATTCAAACAATGTAAAAGTTTTAATGTTTAACTACGCTAACCAAATTTACAAATCGTGAAAGCAACACCAGCAAGCATGGATGTAAACAAACATCTTGGTTTGTTTGCTCTTAGGCAGGACTTAGATTTTTTTTTTTTTTTTTTTTTTAACTTGCCTATAATCTGGCATCAGGGGATTCTAAATGTAGAAACAGTACTGCAAATGTTTTTAGGCCCTGTTCACCCTTCAAAATACTGACTTGAACAAACGTGCCTATAGCGTTAATGTGTTTGGTGCATTTGTAGAGCGCTTAATGTGAGTTAAAAATGCTCCCCAAATGTCCCATGTGTGTTTGCACATGTTAAACCCGAACCCCAGACATTTTTTTGTGTGTAGGGAATAAGGCGTAACGAGCCAGCGCATTTATGGCGTGCTACCACTTGTTTTGATAATGTGTTCAACTCGTCCACATGATAAATTGTAGACTGGTTCGCTAGGAGTTTGCCAGTGTGAACAGAGCCTAACATTGGTCCCTACAGAAGCCTTGGGCCTAAAGTCAGATACATGTTCCTTGTTAAAGATAAAAAAAAAAAAAAAAAAACACAATAAAAACAAAACACACAAAAAAAAAAAACACACACACACACTCTAACATTTGCACCAGAAACCTCCATGTCTCTCTCAGGAAAGGTTTTCTTTATTCCTAACTTCCATATACAACCAAGGCAGAAGAAGGGGCTCTACAGTAATTGCTCTAAAGATTGCAGGTGTCTCAATGTTGAGGTCTTATTCATGCGGGTGTACTGATCACACACATTTGTGCAAAGGGCCATCTTTGCCTGCATGGGATGCACAGGTGTTCCTGCATTGGTGTGCAAACATTTCAACTCTTTCTATTGGGAAACAATGGCTGGCACAGACACAGCTGCTTGATCCCAATTTCACAGCCGTGATGACTTGTGTCTCTGAATGCACACGGTCTGCATTTGGGAACAGGCACCAGCACAGATGTGAAATTGGGTTCAAGCGGCTGTGTCAATGCAACCACTACATCATAATAGACATGAATGGGACTGCCTGCATGCACATGCACAGAACACCACCCCATGTGGGCAAAGATGTGAATGAGGCCTCATTCAGTGTTTAGAAAGGTTTTGGACCAGGTCAGGTTTCGGTCAAGACTGTACAGTCAGGTTCTGAGAAGAGACAGGTTCCCTTTAAATTTTTAACATTACTTTTCAGATATCCATCTGACCTTAAACAAGAGCCATTATGAAGGGTGACGACAACAGAAGATTTCAAATCAAAAAACGTCCGAGCTGGTCTCAACTCAATCTACAAAAACACAAGTTCTTTCAATTTCATCCCCTACAACAATTTTAATGCATTATTTGAGTTTAAATGTACCAGCAAATGGGGAAAAAAAAAAAAAAAGTCTAGATTTTAAACTAAAAAACACACTATGCTAAACTGTCTGCCAGCACCCTTTTGATTATGGTTTCAAATCTATAATGGCTTCCTACACTAGAAGTTAGGACCAGCATATTTAAAGCGATTAGTAAGTGGTAAAGTGATTAGAAAATAATGAAGTGGAGGGAAGTATACAAACACATGCAGTAGCACCATACTTACATATAGATTCTCCATTTATATGGAGGTGTCCATCCTCAGTTTGATAGTCTGCCACATTCATACTTCCACAGTAATTGGAGTGAGCTGGAACACACACACGGGGTAAATAAAATAAAGAGTCTACTCATGGATTTGCATGACACCTGGGAGACCAAAAGCTAAGCTGGGAATAAAATTTGCTTAATGCTTGCAGAGTGTCACTAAACAGTTTGCTTAACTCTTTCCTCTTCTACCCTACGTACCCCAACATCACTGCATGGCACAACATGTAAAGCTGTAGATTTACTTAAAAGACCAAAAAAAAAAAAAAAAACCATGTTGCAGGCTGTTTTGTTCATAAAATCAATCTACTTACACCATTGACCATTCCTATCAGCACAAGTGAACCCTCAGACCAGCAGAAAAACAACAGTAGAGGAGAGAAGGAACATTAGATTTTAGCTATACAGCATTAGGAAAGCAACACAAGATATTTTAGCCAAAGCATGCTACTCTGCCCAAAATGAGATGAGCCATGGAGACCTAAACAAAAAAAAAAACAAAAAAAAAAAAACAAAAAAAAGGAAAAAAAAAAAAGGGCAAAGTATAACAAAAAAAAAAAACCCCCACAACTTATTAAGAATAATCAGCTCCAACTAGAATGGACCACAGTAGATTTCAGAGTTACATGTACACATTTTTATATATGCCAGCTTCCGCTCTGGATCTATAAATACTATCAAATGAAAAAGCAAATACAAAATTTTAAAACAAACATCAAACATAGTAAAGTGGTTTGTTAATAAACAGAACTTTCTTCCTCTGAAAGCACAAAAGTGTTTACATGAAATATTACTGTAAATTCACACAGCAGTGAAGAGTTAACAAGCCCAATTACCAAGCACTACAAAAGCAAGTGAAATCAGAAGAATGTGTGCGCAGAAGTCACCCATGATAGAATCTGGTACCTTTTTGTTCATAACCAAGCTTCAGCATGACCATATGAAAGATTCTCACAAGCAGTGCTGCCATTGTGGCCATAGAACTTTTGGCCAATACCATTGTCCTTTGTGCGTAGTAAGGCAATTCTCCTAATAGGAAAGATTACAGTTCATATTAAAATAAAAGAAGGCGAGAGAAAACAAGCCAATTACTGTTTATCCCATTGGCCATCCTCCATAAAAGTCTCTTGGTGGCAAAACAGTGGTAATCTAAAACAGGTGAACCTATGGACCAGACAGATATATACACACACATATATATACACACACGCGTGTGTGTGTACATACATATATATATATATGCGCACACACACACAATACAGTTGTGTTCAAAAGTTTGCATACCCTGGCAGAAATTGTGAAATTTTGGCATTGATATTGCAAATATGACTGATCATGCCAAAAAATGCTTTTTATTGAAGGATGATCATATGAAGCCATTTCTTATAAAATAGTTGTTTAGCTCCTTTTTAAATCATAACAATCACCAAAACAGCCCGGATCAAAAGTTTACATACCCTGGAATGTTTGGCCTTGGTACAGACACACATGGGTTAAAATGCCAATTAGAGGTTCATGCCCCACATCTGTGGCTTTTTAAATTGCAATTAGCATCAGTGTATAAATGAGTTTGTTAGCTCTTACGTGGAAGCACTGACTAGGCTAGATACTGAGCCATGGGGATCAGAAAAGGACTGTCAAACGTCCTGCGTAACAAGCTAATGAAACGTTAAAAAGATGGAAAAGGACCTAAAAAGGTGTCCAAAGCTTGAATATGCTAATCAGTACTGTTAAATCACCTATTAAGAAGTGAAAAGTTTGCAGACAGATTACAGCCATAACTCAGAGAAGAATTGTCTGGGTTTCAAAGAAAAACCCACAGGCAACCTCAAAAGAAATACAGGCTGCTCTGGAAAAAGATGGTGTGGTTGTTTTTAAGGAGTACAATACGGTGATACTTGAACAAAAATGAGCTGTTTGGTCGAGGTGCCAGAAAAAATCAGCTTTTACTGCACCTTGACATGCCTAATTGGGCCTTTTTGTGTCATTGATGCAGTAAGGGCTCGTTCACACTAGGCTGTTTTGCCAACGCTTGCCAAACGCCCCTATAGCGTTTGGCAAGCGTTGGTCCGGTGTTTGCGGAGCGTTTTTAACGCTCCGCAAACGCCGCATGCGTGGTTTAGCGGCGGTTGCTAGGCGTTTGCCGAGCGTTAATAACGCCCCACAAACACCTATAATGCATTTGAGTGGTGTTACCGCTCCGCAAACACCCCGCAACCGCGTCGCAAACCGCACCGCAAACGCCGGCCGTTTGCGGAGCGGCACCATAGACGAGAATAGGAGGCTTCAAAGCCTCCTAACTCGACCAGAGGCGTCCGTTTTGCTGCGACGCGCGCAAACGCTCCTGTTAGAACAGCACCATGTGCTGTAATGTGCAGAATTGGCAGAGGCGTTTGGGAAGCGGTAAAAACGCTTCCCAAACGCCTCTCTGCCGCCTGCACACAAGGCTAGTGTGAACGTAGCCTAAAGGCTTCTTTCTGGCACCTCCACCATGCAGCTCATTTTTGTTCAAGTGTCATCATATTGTGCTCCTTCAAAACAACCACACTGTCTTTTCCCAGAGCAGCCTGTATTTTTCTTGTGGTTACATATGGGTTTCCCTTTGTAACCCTAACAATTCTTCTGGCAGTTGTGGCTGTAATCTTTCTTGGTCTACCTGACTTTGGCTTGGTATCAAGATATCCCCAAACTTTCAACTTCTTAATAGGTGATTCAATATGGTTTGAAGAACAGATTCATACTTTGGTTTGAGCAAATGTATTTACAAATAGGGCAAGGTGTAATAAATAAATAAATATATATATTTTTATTTATTTATTTTTTTTTAATTGAAGATATGCATGGAGTTTTGTTTAATTCTTTGAGAGAGAGAGAGAGAGAGAGAGAGAGAGAGAGAGAGAGAGAGAGAGAGAGAGAGAGAGAGAGACTCAAAAGTTTGCATACCCTGGCAGAAATTGAGAATGTTTGGCATTGATATTGAAAATATGACTGATCGTGCTCTTTTATTGAAGGATGATGATCATATGAAGCCATTTATTATCAAATAGTTGTTTGGCTCCTTTTTAAATCATAACAGAAATCACCCAAATGGCCCGGATCAAAAGTTTACATCCCCTGGAATGTTTGGCCTTGGTACAGACACACAAGGTGACACACATGGGCTAAAATGCCAATTAGAGGTTCCACATCTGTGGCTTTTTAAATTGCAATTAGTGTCAGTGTATAAATAGTCAATGCGTTTGTTCGCTCTTACGTGGAAGTACTGACTAGGCTAGATACTGAGCCATGGGGATCAGAATAGAAATGCGTAACAAGGTAATGGAACTTTATAAAGATGGAAAAGGACATATAAAGATGTCCAAAGCCTTTACTATGCCAATCAGTACTGTTAAAAACTAGATTCTACTACTAGTTTCCAGTTCCAATAATACGTAACTAAAAAATTCAAATCTGTATTCGTAGCAATTTTAAGGTGGAACTAATCCTAACTGCTTACCAAAATGAAGCTAAAATTAGAATGTTCAATAAAATCCCTGGTGCCCAACCTGTGGCCCTTTGCCACTTACTGTGTGCCCATGGGGCCCCGGCAGACAGTAAGCGATTTTACATTGCCTAGGGGCTTGTTCAGGCCAGTTAAGGTAACATTCTTCAGACTGGGTTCTTGTTAAATGGCTTGTTTTATTTCTTTCCCATTCTTACTTTTATCTATGTTATCCATCATTTTTCACTTTTTTTTTTACTCGATTTCCTCTCTGATCTTTTATAAAGAAGAAATATCAATAGGGGGCTGTAGGCAGCAGAAATGGAAGCATTAATTCATAAAGGACTATAGTAGAAATGAACTCTAGAATTCTGAAGTAACCTGTCTCCAGACTATGACGTCCCAGTCCCCAACAACTCCTAAACACTACGGGCATGTCAGAGTTCTCTGTGGCATTACACTCACGGCATATCTATGTGTGGCCCTTTGCTGATGTCCAGGGGCCGCTCTTGCAGCCCTGTATGTCAAGAAGGTTGACTGTACTGCAATAAATTCTATGCTAATGCTACACAGTTTATACAGCGCTCCCAGTAGAGCATATCGTTCTTTAGGAGAAGCTTGGTTCAAATGAACTAAATGTCACAGGAAAACTGGCCACACATGGAGCTAAATTCATTTGGTTCAGCAGGAACCAGCCAAATTTTAATCCCTCTAAGGCATTTACTGTTCATAACTGGCTTGATGGAAAATCTTGCTTCGATCAGAGCATGCAGTCAAACAGCTGCAGCACTGATCAGTGTATTCTGATGTTAGGGGAGCCCCAATGTAAGTATAGAAATGGCACAGCAGGGAGCATTCCCACATCCAACTCAAATATATGGCTGGGAGAGTTGATTTAATTTGTTCAGCAAACCGGCTGAACAAAAAAACCCTGAAACATGTATTGCCAGCATTAGGCTTTAAATCCTTAGCCATACTAGTAATGTATGACACATGTAGGGTGTGCCTCTGGCGATAATCAGTTGCCAGTAAACTTATGTCAGCTTTCAGCTGATCTTTCAAGCCCTCAAAGGTGTGCAGCACCAGATCTAAATAGAAGCCAAGATAGCACTGTAGGGCAGATAGGAGGATTTAGTAATTTAAAGAATGCTGGTAGAACAGATTTTCCATTAAACAAAACAAAAAAAAGGGGGTGTGACATTTCTCCTAGTTTGCTGTCCCCCAGCAAACCCAATACAACCTGACCGACAAGGTGCCTCCATTACATAAGCAAGTAGATCTTTTTCCAAAGTGCATAAATACAGACAACCCAGAACACTCCATACAGCAACAGACCACAGGTGCTAAAGCAGATGGATGGCATTGTCAAAGCAGAAGTACAAAGAATGTGATATCAGCAGCCTGTGTTTTCAAAGATGAACAGAATATGCATTTGTCACCCATAAAAAAAGCAATGTTTGGAGTGCATTTAAAAAGGACCTCCTCTTCCTCAGGCAGTAGTCACAATGACAGTTACTACTGCTTAAAGTGGTTCTAAAGGCTCAAAGTTTTTACCTCCATGAATTGTATGCATGAAGGTAAAAACCTTCCCTGTGCAGCAGCAGCTCTGCTCCCCCCCAATACTTGCCTAGGCCCCCTCTTGATCCAGGGATGTGCACTGGAGCATCGGTTATCATGGGACTCCCTCTTCTCATTGGCTGAGAGAAGCAGGAGCCATTGGCTCCCACTGCTGTCAATCACAGCTAGTAGGCCAGTAATGAGAGGAGGCGGGACCGAGATGCGGCTCCATGTGTGAATGGACACGGAGCAGTGGGTGCCCCCATAGCACACGGTTTGCTGTGGGGGCACCAGACAGGAGGGAGGGGCCAGGAGAGCCTGCAGAGGACACGAGAAAAGGAAGATCTGGGCTGCTCTGTGCAAAACCACTGCACACAGCAGGTAAGTATAGACATGTTATTTTTGTCTTTAAAAAAAATAAGCCTTTAGAATCATTTTAAAAAAGGAAGAGCTTATCAGTCTCAAAACATTTTTTTTATAGGCAATGAATAAATGTCCTGTCTTTATGCTTTGAATATAGTATGGTGTGTTGGGATTTCTCCAAAGTGGACATGTAACAAACTGTACTGAGGTTCAAATTCTCCACTATGAAAAAAATAAAAAAATTTGAAATCTGTCCATCAGAGACTAAACTAATGTCTGGTCCTGGTACCAGAGGAACAAGAAAATTATAGGGGAATCTCCCTAGCAGGGACACAACACAATCAAAAAGGTTGGAAGAAGACTGAATGCTGGCCATACACATCTGACCATTTGATAAAATTACGGTTTTGACACTGACCAAATCTAGCAAATGTCATTTTTCACGATCAACTAGTTTTCATTACAATTTTATTCACTTTTTCATGGAGATTCAATCAAAGCAAAAACTGAATGTATAGTATATGGAGCAAATCAATCAATTCTGAATCAAATCTGTCACTCAAAATAATCAGGGTGAAGAAAGCAACAAAAAAAAAAAGTCCTTCATTTTACTGCATGAAAATGATATGGCCAGCATAACCCTTCCCCACTCTACACCATGCAAGGGCTTTGGCTGCAGTTGGGCATTAAACTTCATTCACAAAAGGCATCTCACCTACATAAAATAGATTTTAAAAACAAAACAAAAAAAACGCTACATTCTATCTATCATAGAGCCTCACCATTTTGTATTATCATTTCTGGTAGGTAATGTTAAATACCAAATAGTAGATGTACACGAGGTAAAAAGTACTATTTTATCCAAACACTCCTGAAAGTTAGGGTACAACACATTTTGCAGATGTTGGATGCCAATTATCTTGTCATCTTGCAGTTATACAATAGAACAGTCCCTAGCCCTGATTCACACAATGCAATGGACCAAATAACGATGTCTCCTGCGCTCCAGGACTCAGGCCGGTGGCAAATGGATGGAACCAAAACCAGAAAAAGCGACCACCAGTGCATGAAAGGTTATGCAGCTCCACACAAGGCTGGGGAAGCCCGACCAATACTGCAGAATGAAACAAAAAACGAGAAGCGCACAACCTTGCGCATTACTTCAGTAACCAAAAATTATTGATAAAAGGAATGGTACTCACAAACAGTGAATAAGATCAGGCATGTAAGTCCTCCAACGGACTTCAGAAACAGGAAGCCAGCGCGAATCCCATCATGGGGGTAATCACTTAGTACAGCTCATGCGTTTCGAAGGCCATGCCTTCTTCATCAGAGCATCAGTTGTGCTTATACCTTTAGTGTTAAGTCGGCTTGTGAAATCACATGTAGTATGCAATAATCGATTTTATTAAATATGTTTTCAAATGTTTCCTTCTGTTTGGTAAAAGTGTGGGTCTTATTGACATTCTGTCAAACAATTCAGTTAATGAATTCAGCCATATTTGAATCGTGCTTTGGAAAGGTTTGAAGAAAAAAGGGAAAAAAAAAAAAAAAACCAACAACATTGTATACTGTAAGTACCACTCAAAATCACATTTAATATGTATTCTTGCAATGATGGCAAGGTAAGATAGCATTACTCAGTGTAACATTAGATAAGTAAACATTGTTATTTTATCCACTGTACTAAGCATCTTATAATATATTCTTTTCCAACTCCTCCTCCAACATTTACATAAACATCCATGATTTATATTAGCACGTGTTACATAAACTAGTTTGTAGCACAAGTTTATTGGTGTTCAAATAGCAACTGTATGTTTGTTCGGTAAATTCAAACAAGCACTTACAAACCTAGACAAATTAAGTCACCTTTACTGAAAAATGCATGATAAAGACCATGTCATCAACTTAAAGTGATACTAAAGCTTGTTTTGTTTTTTTTCCTTTATTAAAAAACATGTCATACTTACCTGCTCTGTGCTATGGTTTTGCACAGAGTAGTCTTAATCCTCTTCTTCACCGGTCCCCCACTGGCGCTCCTGGCTTCTCCCCTGCCAAGTGTCCACCACAGGAATCCGTTTCCTATGGTGGTCACCTGTGTAGGCTCGCTCCTGAGCCGAGCTGTTGCATCTATTCAGATAGACAGCTTGGCTCGGCACCGCCCCTCGCTCCCATGTTTTGACTGACAGCAGCAGAAGCTAATGGCTGCTACAGACATGCACAGTGCTGGAACGAGATCGGGCTAAGGTGAGTATTTAGGGTGGGCTGCATGTAAAGATTTTTCACCTTGATGCAGAGAATGCATTAAGGTACACAACCTTTTACCTTTACAACTACTACAAAAATAGCAGGTAAAAGCATAGAAAAATTATTTCAAATGCGTGCAACATTTTTTTTAATCCATAAATGCTTTTTATTTACATGTAATGTGTCTCTGAACATGTTACAAGTTTTTGACTACCACAGGGAGCCAGTGCTCTAGCACAGCCTTCTTCTGGAGTTGCCTAAATACTGTATGTGCTAACCCAGCATTTCTGGCCCCCTCACCCCCCTACATAACATTTTATGTAGCTACCATTGAAGGAGCAAAGGGGAATACTACAGCACATCATTTGAGGGACAGCTGCTGGGCTGGTGACATCGTGTCCAAGGCAGCACGGCTGCAGTCTTTGGCCCTCTAGATGCCTACACAAAGAAAGCCTTTATAGGCAAACAAGTGAGCAAGGAAACTTAAAGGAATTTTTTTTAAAGGAAATAATGGAGGGTGCGGTTCTAGACTTCAAAATTTCACAAATGCTACGTGTCTTCCTACCATATGTTGGCTCCATTATCTGGGTCGCTAGGTCTGAACAAAAAAACGTAGGTAACTACTTCTAATGACTTCCAGGCAGTGAAAAATTATTAAATCCAAAGAGCCAGTATAACAGCAGGGCAATTAGAATTTTGTCAGGTTCCATATTTCTGCCCCATGTAAAAACTGTATCCAACAGTCAGGGTCTACCACAATGTTGTAAGCCTGTGGCCAAAATCTTTGCTGACCACAAAAACTTTTGGCGACCACACCCGTTTGCTCACTCCCCACACAAGTCAAAAAGGGGCATCAACTGTGTAGGCACAAAACTGATCTCCATGAAAACCTGAAAATTACCCTCAAATTCCTCTTAGAATTTGAATGATTTATTTTAACACATACCTTTGTTTCTTTTAAGCTTTGGCATCCTGTGACACCCAGGGGTTTAGTCTTTTTTCCCCCCATAGTTGCATCCAGCATGAAGGTTAGCAGGGAAGTGATTGGAAGCTGTATGGGAAGTGCTAGTTGTAGCTGCTGGTGAGCTCAGAGGACCAGAGAACTCTATTGTCCCTTGCTGGCAGCAGTTTACGTGAAGCCACAATCAGGGTACAATGTGATGGTGAATGCATCTGCACCAACCTCACTGTCTTACCAAGACCCTGCAGAAGAATGTGCTGATAGCAACACAGCATTTATACTATCCAGTAGTATAAATAGATGGGACATTATTAGTTTAGTGTTCAAAATGGAGGAGTTTTACTGAGGCGGTTTGTGCTGGGCCTGGTGAACGTTAGGTCCAGCAGCCACCCACTCCTAGTCAGAAAATTATGAAGGCTACTAATGGGCTATAGATAAAAAGGCAACAATGCTTAAAGTAGGGTGGGTTAAACAAACTGAAAAAAAAAAAATCCCTTTACAGACTTCGATTCTCCTTTTACCTCTACAACAAAAGCAGTGGCACTTCGCTGCATCACCCTTTCACACAAAGTAAAGAAACAGATTTTAAATACTTTGCATGTGGATTTCGTAAGCTGCATGTTTGAATAGTCAAACCTCTAGATGGCACAGAATACCAAAAAAAAAAAAAAAAAACGACTAGACAGCTATGATATGCAGAAAAGACATCTTACTTGATTTGTGCTTCTGGCTCCTGTCACGAGTGTATACTTTAGTAGATGTTGTGTACGTGGACAAAGCAGGCGTGTGAGTTGCCGAGAATGCTGTGAGGGCATTACTTCTTTCAGACAGCATGCTACAGTCATTGCAAGTGTAACCATTTATTAAGGTTGTCTGTGTTTCTGTAGAGAAGACATCTCCATTGGCCTGAATGACCGTTGTGTCCCCAGCTACAAACACATAACAGAACATTATCAGATTTTACATTTCCTTAGCAGCTGATCCACAAAAGGCAAGGCAAGGAGGGCTTAAAAATAAATTCTTACCTTTTGGGTCATCATCGTCAAGACCTAAAATGAAAAATTACAATTAGCCACACAAGACACAACATTGGAAAAAAATGAAATCTCATGAAAATCAGCAAGAGGCAGATTGTTCGTTTTCCACAATATAATTTCGTCTTTTGTGCTAGACCCTTGCAAAACTGGTTACCAAGCAACCCAAGATTCACAAAAACCCACTGAAGTCACAAAATGAAGCAAGACAAAGCTGAAAGGTTTCCGGTCCTTTAATAAAATGGCTTTTATTAAATAGAAAACTGTGTTAGAGGAGGCCTCTTGTGAAACCATAAATTCCCTACTGCTTCTTTGTTTTGTTTTTTTTTTTTCTTCTTGATAGTAGATCAGATGTGTGGGATGTCACTCCTCTAAACTAGAGTACTCAGTGGACACCCCAAGCAGAATGAATACCAGTCACTGTTGGGTTTATGAAAGGATCTAAACACTGACTTAGGCCTTATTACAACTATGGGGGGTTACTTATGAAAAACATTTATATTCATACCTCTATGTAGCTGTAGGATTTATGGAGAGTCTGACTTTTGAAAGCGAGCCGTCACCCTATGCCTGATGGCTGTTGCTCAGAACACACACCCATAATAGTATAAAGAAAGGGGGGGTCCATGTTACACTTTTATTCCTTTCAGAATTGGGACATCTCTTTCATACTCTCAAACTAATGAGTTTCATTAAAACAAAGGGCAAATATAAATCTTTTGTAGGTAAGCCTGTACATGACTGACTACAGATATTTGCAAGCCCAGTTGTGATAGGGCAGAACATATTCAAGTTCTCAGCATGACAGCCAGGAACCTAGCATCTTTTTGGAAGGAGGGGGAGTTGTCAATCTCCATATTTTCTAAGTTTTTATTTTAACCTTTGCCTTTCTGCTGCCATCCTCTTCCCCCTTTTCCTTTGTTAGTATGACCAATCTGAGGTATAGAGAAATTAAAGCTGCTCTCCCGCTTTTAGTGAAGTAAATCGTGACGTAAATCGTTCATTTGAACCAAATTTAACTAACAGATGCAGCGGCTCTCAGTGCTGCATGGACTGTATGTAGTCTCAGCAACAGCATTCAGAGCTGTGTTCTGACAGTGGGATAGGAGCTGTCTCTTTTACACCCAGAACAAAATACAGCTGAGGACAGCAGTGCTCAGCCTTTCACTTCAATTTTTGTTAACATGTTATGTTCTCCGGAGGTCAGAGAACATGTAGTACTTTGTCCCATCTTCCTATGTGCCCTTAATGCCCTGAGGTTGGACAAGGTGCTTCTCCTTTCAAGGCTGTTCAACTCAGCTAGCAAGGAGAAGGCTTCATTGACACATGGCACTTCTCCATCTCCAAGCACATGCTTGAGACTAGCACCTCAGGAGGAATGCAGTGATGGGGGGGGGGGGGGGCTTATCAGCTTAACTGTTTCAGGTAAGCAGACAAGAGCTTGGAGACAAAGAAAATGGACATCTGTGAAGGAAGTCATCTTCTTGCTAGCTGTGCTGTCAGGGAGGAGCAGTGACCTCTTCAACCTCACAGCTAGCCTTAGACAGTACATAAGACAGGACAAAGTACTGCGTATACTTTGTCCTCTAGAGAAAACAGAATATATAAATAAATGAGGCTACTGCTATAAAAACGTAAGTATAGTGTATTTTCACTATGCAAATATTCAAATTATTATTTTAACATTTGCCGTAAACTAATTTGCATTTACAAGCTTGCTCTTCCATAATTTCATTATTGTAATAAACAGATTTGTAGACTCCCCAATAGAGGGAGCTCTTTGTGTAGCTCAGTGTAATCACTGTCTCCTAGTGATCCATGGCTTATTGCAATTAACAGCTGATAAAATCAGATATCAGCTAAACAGGGAGTGCATGGTTTTTAACAAATCTTTTCTTACCAACCAGGGTGCCGCATACATGGATTGAAATTTGGCCGGTCCCTGCCAAACTTCGATCTACTGTATGTATGGCAGGCTTAAGCCAAGCAGAAGTGCAAAGACTTTTAGATCTTCACAGATATTTAATTTAAAACACACATACTTATATAGGTTATTTATAGAAGAGAATAACTACCAGATGTGTGACAAGCATGCTTCACGTGAGTAACAGGAAAAAAATTACAGATTTCATTGTGTAATTCAGTATGAAAAAAAAATTGTGCTTAGAACACCAATTACAATTGGATTTGACAAAACAGTTGAACAGGATAGATGTATACACACACTTGAACAAGAAAGTTATTCTTTAGAACTTAGAACTCTGAGACCCATAAAGCATTTGACACAAATACCAGTCTCTCTGGGTCATTTTACTGCAGGTTTTAACTAGTCTGTGCTCTGGGTCAGGACATGCATTCTGTGCCAAAGGCAGGTTAAATCATTTGCCATACTCGGCTCTCCTGTCTGTGTAAACCTGTGGTGTAACCTGTGAATTTACAGGTTTGTCGGTTTAAAATTCTTGCAGCAGCAGATTCATTAGCATGCCTGGCAGCCTGGCTGAAATGAATGCATCAGTCTCCATTAACCTGCAGGGCAGAATTGTGGAAAGAAGCTTCTCAGACAGAGTGGGCACAGCTACGTACAAAATTAAGCCGTACAAGAATGCTGCACCAACATGTTAAAAAAAAAAAAAAAAAAAAAAAACCGGAACAAGGAAGAAGATATGAATTTTTTTTTTTTCCCTTTTTTAATCTTGAAAGAAAGGGTGTGTAATTTTTTTTTTTTTTTTTTTTTAAACTACTTGTCTACTACTAAAATCGGGGTCCCAGTCTACTTGTCCCTCATAACAATCTACTTGGCCTGTTGAAAAGAAATAATTTTTTCCCACAATTGAAAAGATGAAGGGTTGATGTTTTTTTTTTTATTAGGCAGAGGTGCTTTAGGTAATGTCTGGGGCTTTATAATGACTTGAACCTTTAATGTTTTTAACATTGCGCTGTTCTATCTCCTAATCACCTTGGGGTTGGATACAAATGCACGCCACACTTTTTACGTATTTGTAAAAAATTTTGAAAACCATTTATCATTTTCCTTCCATTTCACAATTATATGCCACTTTGTGTTAGCCTTTCACATAAAATCCCAATAAAAATACATTTACATTTTTGGCTGTAACATGACAAAATATGGACATTTTCAAGGAGTATGAATACTTTTTCGAAGGCAGTGAATTGCTTATACAAGTGATCATTGTATTGGCAATAACCGTGCACATAAAAATCCCTGATAACCCTACAGAGTAATACAGTATCGCTATAGTGACACCAACTACACTGATAATAGAGTAGTTTTCATATTAAAAAAAAATCCATGATCACTGCCACTCCAATCCTATGACTGCACTGGTGACCATATGTAAAAGAAAAACTCCAGTAACTACCACACCCCCAATTCTTGTAAGGGCATTATAGAAACAGGGAGGGAGTCCCTTCAATGGGGTCACACACACACACACACACACACACTCAAAAGTCTTAAGTTTTTCTAATTCTCATTAGGTGTGGTGATTGGCATCCTCCTGCACTGGACAAACACTAATCACTGCAGACACACACAGAAAACAATTCTTTCCTATGTGCCCTGTTCATACAGAGCCCCTGGGTGCCAATCAGTGCAGAAAAATACAGAGTTCACCTGTAGGCTCGGTGTACTTTCCATTTCTACTCACCACAGCTGAGCTGCAGTGTCAGAAATTAATGAAATGTCATCTTGACATTCTAATAAAGTTGGAAGTAAAATAAAAAAAACAGGGAAATTGATCAAATTCAATTGTTTCAATAGTTTCAATATTTTATGGCTGTATGATGGCATAAGACCGCTGGCTCACCCCATAAATGATTCACTTCTGTCTGCTCTCGTATTGAGGATTCATCCAGCACAGTGGACAACATGGAGGCATCAGAGACATGAGTGCTAAAGCTACTTTGTAAGGATGTATTTGAAACCGCTTTCAATGATGCAGAACGACGGCTGCTTGAGGATTGTCTGCTGGTGTTATGCTGCTGTCTCGAAGACCTGAAATAAGTAAAAAATTAATGTTTTAATATAAAAACTCTGGTCATATCATACAACACAGCAGGAAGATACACAAGGACAGCCTGAAAGTATCCCATTCTCCTACACAATAGGTAACAATCTTCACTACTGCAGAAAGTAAAGAAATATGAAAAGTACTGCACACAATTACCAGATACCAAACTTTTTTTAAAATTTAAAAAAAAAAAAAAAAAAAAAAAGGCAATGCTTTACCTTTTGCCACCTATTTTGCTAATACAGCAATACGTTGTTAATACACCACAACAACTTCACAAATACAGTACCAAGGATCTTAAAAAGAGAAAAGCACAAAAAAAGGTGTGGTTGGCGTGCACATTTTCTAAATTACTGCCTTGCATATTGCCTTCTGACAGATTACAAAAACACACACGCACGCACGCACTATACTATTGACTGTAGCCCCCTGCCCCAGCCCCCCCCCCCCTCCCCTTTCTGTTTTTAGTATACACCTGTCACACTAGAACAAGGTTGAATCCTTGCAGTCCACTGCATCCTAATAGACTCGAACAGGCTAGAGAAAAAAAAAAAAGTTTTCTTAATTGTAAAAAAACTAGTAACACCCAAGCACATAAAATAAAATCCCCCCCCCCCCCCACATAAAAATGTTAAACGCACACGTTGAGGGTGCCTATGCATGAAAACATCGATTGCGATGCATGTTACATATCACAGCACACATGGAATGAGAGCAATAAGTCTAGCACCAGACCCCCTCTAACACTAAACTGATGATTTATAGGGGGCTTTTAAAGTGAAGCCTATGGAAAGTATAGGGTATTGAAGTTTGTCGCTGGGGGACACAGTTTAAGGTTTGACATGTTGGATATTTGGTGCAACCTTTCCTTTTAAATTTTAAAAAAAAAAAAAAAAAAAAAAAAAAAAGAAGAAGTGGTAATTTATCGAGTTTGTATGCCCTAAAATTAACAGTGCAGTAATCACATGTGACATAAATAAATGGAACTAGCACTCTTATTCTTTAGGGTGTCTGCTTTCAGAAAATATATTATGTTTAGGAAGTTTTATGTAATCTTCAGGCAAAAAAAAAAAAAACAACAAAAAAAAAAAAACGTCTGACAGCAAAAGGGCGTCAGACGGCAAAAGGGTTAATCAAACCATGGACACAAAGAATTCCATTTTCTCTAAATGAAGCTAACAGCACCTAAAACACAGGTAAACGCACAGTGGAAATTGCACCATAGAAAAAATATATATGTATTTACAGGACTTAAGAATTTCAGGATGGACAGTGCCATTGTCAGTTAGGCCAAACCCACCTGGCCATCGCTGCCAGAGCTTTATAAAGAAAATATTTTCATTTCAAGTAACAAGGACAATACAACAGAAAGTTAACAGAACTCCAAAAACAAACATGTTTTTCAACCACATTCAGCACAAAAGAATAACTGAAGTGTAATAAAAATGGACATGAGGATCACGTGGACAGCTGGCAATACAGTGAAATAATAAAATGTGTTTAAATACAGCTAAATAATGTGGCATACAACTTGCCTGCTGAGCGATCTCTCAGAGACACCTCCAGAATAGGAGATGTTTGAGGCAATACTTTCATTGTGGAGATCATCGGGAAAGCTGGTTGTTGTAGTCGTTAAACGGAGACTACGCCGTGACATTCTTGGAGAATCAAACACTGGATCCAACTTATGCAAATTTTCAAAGTCCAATGCAGCTGAAGAGTAACTGGAGCTAAAAAGAATAAGAAACAGTTGTGTTTGTAGAGGAAAAAACTAGAACAAAATATTTACAACAAATAATTACAACACAAGGTGAGTAGGTGTGTACCCACCTTCCCCCACCCCCACCCTAAGCATTTTGTACTAATGGATTTCTAAACAACACCCCCACCCTAAGCAGCACTGTACAATTAAAAAAAAAAAAAAAAAAAAAAAAAAAAAAAAAAAGGTACAACCCACAGATACGAGATTGCAATTACCTGACCTCAGGTCTATAGACCCCCTTGGAAAAAACTTGCTGTGAGTAGTGCCCCATCGTGTACCCACCTTCCCCCATCGTTGGTGCCTAAGCAGCACTGAACTCCCTTGTACAATTATTAAAAAAAAAAAAAAAAAAAAAAAAAAAAAAAAAAATGGTACACATTGCTAAAAACCTGTAATGAAATCTTGAGATGCACGCAGCAATCACAGCCCACCAGCATACCGCATTCAGATTTTTCTGAAGTGCACCAGAGTACCTTCCTTTAGAGAGTCAACCATACATGCATTGAAATTTGGCTAGTTCATCAGGGATTGGACGAATTTTGATCCATGTACGGGCAGGGTGGTTGTACAGAAGTCGATCTGCTTCTTTACTTCTGTACAACCGCCCTGTCAGATATTTGCCGCTCGACCAGTGCTGCTGGCTATAGCAGACTGTGTTAATCAGTGTATTTTCACTCAACCCATGAAAACATCTATTGGAAAAAAAAAAAAAAAACGGGCTGCTTAAACACAAAATAAGTCAACCACTGTTTGTGATACAGGAGATCTCTTCCCACACATACCTCCTGCAGGTTTCTTGATGCCATACAAGTTTCAGTACTTAAAGTGGAGCTTCACTCTCTCAAATCAACATTGGTTATTAATCCTTATGCTGCCAACATTAGTAAATAGATAGGAAAGTATATTATATTTACTGGTTTTTAAACTTTTTTTTTTTTCTTTTTAGTTCCTTCCAGGTTTCCTAGGCAAATGATGTCATACATCCCAGGAGTCTTCAGGAGACAAAGGAGGGTTTTTCTCAGCTATGCACACCCTCCTGCCTACTACATGAATTATCTGCCCTTACTTAAGATGGCCACAACCAGAAATGCTAGGAGGGTGTTTTTCAAAGTGCTTTCTCAGCAAATCAAAGCAAGGAGACATGGGTGGATGGGCGAGTTTGCTTTCAATAATAAAGTGAATGAAATAATGTTTTTGGTTTGTGCTCAGATACAATGTAGTTCCGCTTTAATTTTTTTCCAGTCACTGTCAGACCCAAACCTATTTTGAAATCTGAATGTGATTGATAGAAAGTATTGGCCCATTACTGCAATACCAATTGCATGACAATGTTTGAGGGAAAAAAAAAAAAGAAACCCCTACGTTAGGGCACACAACTACACATGTAGTGTGCCCAGTTCTACAGCAAGCCCTTGACCAATGTCATACAATTTGCTGGGGTATCCCTGTAACAATCACTCATGGATGACACTCAAAACAGGTTTAAAACAGCTACTGTGTGTATGAATAGGCGGATTCTACTAGACCCGTAGACAAGAACAAGAGCCGTGTACATTCACCACAGAACATCTGTTACTAGGGCTCTAAATGTGATGCACATACACAGCAGCTGTCACACAACTGCACAGTTACAAGATCTCAAAGGAAACTCTTCTATAGCTTCCAACACTTGCCATATTATTTCCTACATACAATTGAAAAAAAAATATTACAAATGTATGCAAATACTTAGCAGATGAGACACAGCTGTTATCAAATACCCCCATTACATTCTATTTTCTTCATGAACATATCAATAAACCTACTCAATCAAATCAGTTATCCAGCACACAATACTGCTTTGACAGTTTGTAAAATAGACTTAATTTCAGACAAACAGCTTGTAGCCTCCCTAGCGGTCTGATTATGTCAGTATTTCTGTGCTCAAAGCGGTACTTTTTTTGCATGGAAATATGTATTTTTTTTTATTGTAGGCCTGTAATTTTTAGGAATAACTCACTGAAATCTGTCCGAACAAGAGAGTCTAGTAAACATCCCGAGTATTTAAAAATTTGAAACACGAAATCATAAATAATAAAATAGTTATAAAAAATAATAAATTTAATTCAATAATGTAATCAAACCTAAAACAATGAAATATGTGAAATATAGCGCCAAGTTCGCACATCACTGAGCAAAGTCACAAAATCGTTTTCAGTGTCTGATGACGAATTTCCCCACGAATCATTATCACTCAATTCTGCAAGTGGTTCTAATTTACTATCGCTGTTCTCTAGCTGGTCTAAAACCGCTTTTGACCTAAAGGGACGCTTTTTGGACGCCATGGACATTTCTCAGTTTCCAGGCAGAAAGAACAGTAAAAATGCAGGCAGGGCACAGGACAAAGCACTCGGGACAAAATGTATGTGAAATGGTTTGATACAGTAATGTTATACTATGTAATTTTAGTGTATTTAGTGAATGTCACTTTATCACATTTTTAAATTTTCCGCCGTTCCGTTCCTGTACGTCCTGACGTCAACGGGAACGGAACCCAGAAGATGAATGCCGGCATCGGCCAGAGGACATTGCTGGGGACGCTGCAGGAGGGACATCGCAAGGAGCGAAGGACAAGGTAAGTGAAGAAGAGATCCCGGAGTAACACTGCATGGTATTCCCGAGTGTAGCTCGGGGTTACTGCTTGTGGAGCTGAAACTTTACCCCGAGCTACACTCGGGAATACCTCCAGGGAGGTTAATAGACAGATGGTACAAATATAAAAATCAATCTGTTATACCTACCAAAGACCTACTATAGACCTCAGTGTAGGCTACACAATGCATCCTTGTCCAGTGTTCACTCTAAACTGACTGGACAGCAACTCATTAATTAGGTCATCATAGTTCTTGCCCCTTCTGTAAGCATGTTGACATGTTTACTGGGCAAAATAGAACTCTTAGACCCCATGTACACGAGCAGCTCCTAAATTCGAGTTTAGGAGCTTTTAGCATTTTTTTGCCAAAGCTCCTAAACTCAACACCATAAAAGCCTATGTTTCCTTGAAAACATAGGCTTTTAGCAGAGTTTAGGAGCTGCCATGTTTAGGTGAGGTTAAACCTCCCACTCCTGAACACAGAAGAATTGCGTTCAGGATAAGCACGTTTAACAACCGGAAAACGCAAAACCACAGTACCGTCTTTGGTGGTTTCCTGCGGCTGGCGGTCAGAGTAGGCTTGTGTACATGGAGCTTTAAATGGTTCAGCTAGTTTCCGCTCCCTCTCCAATATTGTGTTTTAAAGCTGAAGTTCCCAAGTTCCTCCTTTCCACATCAAACTGCTAATGAAATTATAAAAAAAAAATAAAAAAACTCATTTTTATTACATACGGTACTTTATTTTAGCGCAAGTGACACCATCACTAGGTCTCCATGCTTGTCTATGTAATGCAGACAGATCATGGCCAGTGAAGGGGCTGAAAACAGGAAGGTGTGGTAATGCCCACATTTGATGTTGAGCCTCCATGATTGAAAGAACTGAAATCCAAATCAATGAAAGGCGCAGCGCAGGGACAGCAAGGCTGGAAAGAATGCTAGATATCTTCCAGCCACAAAATGAGATGGGCTCTGATGTGCTGCAGCTTCTAAAGCCCTATTAGCGCCCCACTGATACACTGTACGTTTCTCAACTCTTCTCTAGATACCCAACTGGTTCTCCTCTGACCATTTCAAATATTTGCTAATACACAAAATAGCAGGAGTGCTGCCTTAATGCAATGTTCACTGGGAATGACCAGCAACATTCAATCAGGAGGACTACAAGCTCCAGCATGACTTCCTATTCCCCACCAAAAGCATGAAAGACTCTTATTTCACCATAAGAGGCCATTAAAGTTGGTAAGTCAGGGGGCACACAGGCAGGGAGCACAGAACACTTATCACCTTCTGGATGTGAAAGGGATTTTTGTTCTCTTGGTTTCACATTTGGGTCTTTATTTCACCATTCATTATGTGTTCATTATTTAAGGATGTTTTTCATGTCATATAACATACAATGAGGCAGCGCTCCTGCTATATTCTGTATTATATTGTTAAAGTGGAGTTCCACCTAAAAAAAAAAAAAAAAAAAAAAAAAATATACAAGTCAGTAGCTACAAAAACTGTAGCTACTGACTTTTAAAATACAGACACTTATCTGTCCCTCGGTCCAGCGGTGTCCTCACCACCGCTGGTTTCACCGGCCACCTTCTTTTCCCTGGCGCTGGCATCTTCAGTGTGGGCACCTGCTGTGACAGCTTGCGGCTTCACAGCTGAGTGCCCACTGCGCATGCGTGAGTAGTGCTGCGCTTTGTGAATGGCCCCGTAGTCTTCTGGGACCTGCGATGTGTCCCAGAAGACTACGGGTGGGGGGGGGAAACAACTTTCAAAGTGGGAGCAGGTACCTGTCAAATTTGGGTACCCACTCCTGAAAAGGTGCCAATCCTTAATGGGGAGTGGAGGATGAAGGCTTAAAGCAGAACTTCCCCTTTTGGGTGGAGCTCCACTTTAAGGTTGTACCTTTATAGGAGCAGCAGCAGCTCAGTTGTTTAATATGGAGTGTGCACTATTGATTGGTGTGTCCTAAGCGCAGGTGATCATTTTCGATTATTCAAATAATATTTTCTGCCTCCACAAGACCCTCAACTGAAAAAAGCTCACAACATTCCCACTCATTTCGAACATATCTTTTAATGTTCACACTTCCTCCTCTCGAAGCTGTTCTGTTGTCACATATTGCTATATATACACCCAAGCTGCTCAACATTCATAGTTATGTGACAAATAAGACGTCTTTGAATATTTATCACAACCCAACTATAGTTCTTTAGTCACTTCCCTCTCTGTCCTACACTACACTGAATACATTCAAAAGCCAAAATATTCTACTGGTAAGATTACACAAAATGTTAAAAATGGCATATAAAATGAAATGATTGGCATACGATATGTTAAAG